CCCATGAGAACCCGCTGACAGGGCGCAGGAGGAGGGCCTGAACAGTCTGTGCTCCTTCAGGTCAGCAGGCCTCGAGGGCATGCAGGGGCAGGGGTACAGAGGACAAACTGGGACATAGCTCCGACAGGGGCAAGCACTGGTTGAAGCCAACCACCCCCTCAGGAGCCCCACCCACAGCTCCCCACCTCCCAGCATTAGCTAGGGTCATGCACTTGTTGGGTGATGGGTACACATTCCCACAACCCAGCCAAAACAGCCAGACAACAGCCTGACAGTAGAGCCTGAAACCTCGGAGGGATAGCTGTGATGACCAGCAGGAGTGGCCCAGGGCCGACGTGCCCGCCAGACCAACCCGCCCCCACATACTGCTGCATCCATTGGATCAAGCAGCATGCCCTCTGGTGCTTGGCACAATGCTAGCCGTTCCCCCTGGAAAGCCCCGAAGCAGTCAGTAGTCCAGAAGAACGACCAGAGGACGCCAGAGGTGGCTGTCCTGTCTCCAAACCCTTCTGGGCAAATCCCACCACCACCTGTCCCCCAAAACGTCCGCCCGAGCTGTGAGCAAGGGACAGGCGATGGCCCCGACCACCCCCACGGGGTCTCACCACAAGGGGGTGTCTACCTCTCCTCTCGTTCTGGTGAGAGGGATAAGAAGCCACTGTGAGGCCAGCAACAGGGAGCCAGCCGGACGGCCATGGGGGCCTCCAGGACCCTGCCCGTGGCCCCGGACGCCATGCTGAAAGGAAGCCAGGGCGGCCAGGTCAACCCATAGGGTTACACAGGCCCCCAAGAGCCAGCACAAGTCAGGAAAGGGCATCCGGCACCTTCCAGCCACCTGCATGTCCTGTTCCTCTCCTCCGCCCCTGCGTCACTGCTGACTCTGCCACATGGTAATTACTCGTGTGTCTGCAATGTGGCACACTTACTCACACATGCACTGCACATGACTACCCGTGGTGTGGTTACTCACACATGCACTGCATGTCTACCCGTGGTGCACTTACTCACACATGCACTGCACATGTCTACCCGTGGTGGGGTTACTCACACATGCACTGCACATGTCTACCCGTGGTGTGGTTACTCACACATGCACTGCATGTCTACCCGTGGTGCACTTACTCACACATGCACTGCACATGTCTACCCGTGGTGCACTTACTCACACATGCACTGCACATGTCTACCCGTGGTGCACTTACTCACACATGCACTGCACATGTCTACCCGTGGCGCACTTACTCACACATGCACTGCACATGTCTACCCGTGGTGCACTTACTCACACATGCACTGCACATGTCTACCCGTGGTGCACTTACTCACACATGCACTGCATGCAGCTTGTATGCCACAGTTACACACGTGGGGAGCGGTGGCCGTGGGGAGCGGTAGCCTGTGGGGAGTAGTGGCCGTGAGGAGCAGTGGCCGTGGGCAGTGGATCCCATTTGCGAGAGCCAGGTTGGTGGCTGCTTCCTGGAGAGGTGGAAGCTGACTCCGGCTCTGTGCCAGGGTACTCGTGGTGCACACCCCCAGGAAGTCAGCAGCTGGCTGTTCTGTTCCAGCCACATGGCAACGTCAGAGGCCTGCTAGCCTGCAAAAGCAGGTCCTGTTCTTAGGAGAGAGCCCAAAAACGCATATCCCACCTTCCCACCATTTGACAGCTAAAAGACCAGAGGCCAGTGGCCAGCAACTTCTCCAGGCACAGCCCGACTGTCCCAAGTCACCATGGCTGCAGGAAGGTTGCTTCCAGCAGCCAGAGCAGCAGAAACCCACATACTAACACAGCCCACCATGGGAGAGTACCCCCACAGAAGCCCTCAGGCACCACCCAAGGGCAGCCACGTCCAGTCCTCAGAAGCCCAACTGGTGGGCTCTTGGACTCATTTGACAGAAGGGGAAACTGAGGCCCAAACAGAGCCTGGGCCCAGACCCAGGTCTGTCAGTCACACTTCGGAAGCCACTTTTGACAGCTGCTCCAAGGACAGCCACCTGTACTCTGTCTGCTCAGGAAGTGGCCAGCAACGGCCAGCGTCCCCTGTGCTGATGGAGGGCACACACGTGAGGCACGTGTGCTATGTGCTGCCTGGTCTTGTCGGGACAGGCACCTGCGTGGTGCTCTGGGCACAGCAGTGATGCCCGGCTGCAGCTCGAGGGCCTCTCTCCGCCCTGGCAGGTACACCCTCGCCTCCCTGCCCCGTCAGCATCTCCAGGAGGCAGGAGCATGGCACATGTGTGTGTTCTCTGCACCTGCTGCTCCACACTGTAGACACGAGGGAGGCGCGCGCAGTCAGCCTGGACTCAAGGCCCAAGCCATCAGCAAACATTCGTAGTTACAGTGTGACCACACTGCCCACATACCAACACAGTGTTAAGCCACTGACCCTAGCCCACAGGTGACTGTGCACACACAAGGAGCCACACGAACCCTCCCAGCCCTGAGCCCCAGTCCCAGCTACAGCTGTCCTGCCAGGACGTCACTGGGGGTGGGGAGTCCCCCAGAGCCACCTCAGGAGCAAGCTGCAAGTGCAGGGCGAAGTGCTGTAGCAGGGCAAAAGAGGCTGGGAAAGAGCAACAAGGATTGTCGGCCAGCCGGCGCGTGCGGAGGCGTGGAACGGTCAGACCGAGACACTGGGGCAGGACGTCTGGGGCCACAGGCCTGTGCCTGACACCAAAGCACCAAGAGCTTGCTGATGAGCAAGTGTCTGGACTAGGACCCCCGCCCAGGACTCGGGACCCCAGAGGCTGCTGACCCCAGATGGGTGACATCACTTCCAGGCCTGTTTCTTGCACCCGCACAGAGAGGAAGGGTGGCTCCTTGTCACAGAGAGAGGCACTCCCTCCAGATGCTCAAACGAGGGGGTAACCTTGCCAGTGAGAGCTGTTGGGACAAACAGCCCCAGAATGGAGCCCAGGAGTCGTGGCAGAACCACCAGAAGGCCCATCCTCACCCAAGGCCTGTACAGCAGCAGGTAGGAACCCGGTCAGCACAAGGGGACTACAGATGGGAGCCCCAAGGCAACAGGAAACGGGGGAGACCCCACAGTGCCCAGAGGCCAGAGTGGGGGAAGGGGCTCTGCTCAACACTGGTGGGGGGTCCCTGACCTCCCTCCCTGCTGGGAGAAGGGCAACACAGCCACGATACAGCAGCTGCAATGGTACCATCTCTCCTGGGGTGGGCACACCGAGTGGGGCACCAACCAGGGCATGGGCTGCCAGGGGAGGGGATGGGTCAGCACAGGAGGCTGGGCTGAGCCAGGGCTCCTCTCCTCTCCCTGCACCTCCTTCTGCAAGGCCTGAATGTGGTCTGATCCTGTAAGCAGTGGCACCAGCTACTACCCTGCTCAAGTGAAGCAGAGCAGAGACTGAGGGTGAGCCCAGAGGGCAGGAGGCCGGAGGGGAGCAGGAGGCTGAGCGAGGGCAGGAGGCTGGACGCTGAGCCAGAACCCTCTGGGAAGCCCCTATGCACAGTCCCAGGATGGACTGCAGGCCAGCACTACCTGTCCAAAGGACTACAAGCTGGGCATCCTAGGAGACCACACAACTCTCCCCGAGCAAAGCCCTCTGTAACAAGGGACAGGACACTGCTGCCAGACACCATGGGTAGTGCGGACTCGGGTGCCCCACCAACCCCACCCCTGCAACACGTCCCCTCGTGCCTTCCGGAAAACGCCTGGTTTCTCTTCCTTCCTCCTTTCTTGCCCGTGAGTCAGCTCTGGACCAGGGACACACCAAGTCACATGGCCACACAGCTTGTGCAGCTGCAGGCAAAGCCCGCAGGCAGGAAGCAGCTGTGTGCATCCGAGTTGCAAGTCCCCATCCCACCGCGCTGGGTCCCCTGCAAGTCACACTAGGCAGTCTGGACAGCTAAGGGAGGGTACGGCCTGCCCCTCGCACCTGTCCACACGGGACCCAGGTTCCTGGCCCATCGCCCTGTACTCACCAGGCTGTGCCGACACCTCACCCTGGGAGGCCAGGTTGACCCCTTACCAGTCTCTCCCAGCTCGAAAAGCTACAAGGCCAAGAGCAAGGTGCCACTAGATCTGGGGTCCAGCAGAGCCTTCCTGTTCCCAGAAACTGTCCCCCAGTGCCTCCTCAGGGCAGAGGGGTGAGTAAGCTCTGAGGGGCACTAAGTCCCTCCCCAGGGACCCACCTTCGTGACCCAATCACCCCAAAAGACCCCCTTCTACCACCACTACCATAGGGTCACTTCCCAAAGCTGGATGACTGTGGGGAGGAACGTGGATGGACTTCCAGGGTCTCCTGGAATCAAAGCCCAGGTCTGTGTCCCCCCCGCCTGCCCCAAGGGACAGAGGAACCCGCAAGGCAGTGACCTCTACAGGGCTCTGCGGCAACCAGCTCGTGGCTCAGTCTCTGCTAAGCCCAATGGATGACCCAACACCCAGCTGCTCAAGACAGGCCCACCCACGCTCGCAGCAGGCACTGGGAGCCCAGACCAGCCACCCTGGCTCCCTTCAGCCCCATCCAGGGCTCAGCCTCGGGCTCCAGCCACCTGAACACACGTTGCATTTAGGGAGCTGGGGAGAGGGAGCCACAATAAACAGGGGTCCCAAGGCCTGAGAGCAGCCATGCCCCTCAGGGCCGGCTTGCCTCCTCCAGGGCTCCCAGGTCTACATGGCAGCTCAAGACCCCGCTGCCTCTGCAGGACTCCCCTGCAAACAAGGTCCAGAAGGTCCTTAGGGCTGGGCAGGAGAGGACACAGAGGCCCGCCTGACCCCAAGAAAGAGCTGCTGCCACAGCCGGAGAAAGCCAGAGAGCTCTTATCCGAAACCAAACCCTCTGGAATTCTTTCCCATGAGGAGAAACACGGAGCCAAGGCTATTGGGTTTATCCTGGAGATGAAAAGGCCGCCGAGAAGCAAGGGACCCGCCCGCCGCTCCTTCCCGTGGCCGCCGTCCAAAGGGGCCCCTTCCCCACGCTCGATCAGTCGAGCCAACTCAGCCATAAAGAGTCCCGCGGGACGGGAGCGGAGTGCTTACCTCGGCTTCACATTTCTTGTGGCAGGAAAACTTGCAGGCTGCAAAAGAAGAAAGAAAGAATGTGTGTGGCAGCCAGCGAGCGCTCTGTTCTCCAAGGCTCCGGAAGGTCGCCTCGATGCAGCTGGACAGGAGGTGGCTGTGTCCAGCCCGAGGCGGCAGCGGCTAGAACGGCCTGGGGCATTTGTGAGGCAGAGATTTCCCAAGGAGTATGACCAGCCATACTGGACCCCAGAGAGAAAAGGACCCATTGTGCCCCCAAGTGGCCTTGGGGAAGGATCCAGGGGACTCCACCCCAGGGCACTCTCCCCTGGGCAGCTACACTGCCACTGCACGGGAGCCTTGCAGCCATGTCCACGTGAGGGGTATGGGTCCCAAGGCCACTGAGAACCTTCACCCCCATCTCCCCACTCCGCCCCTGCCTTCTGGGAAGCACAGAAGCCGCAAAAGTCATGTCAGGTTGAGGAGGACACACAAGGCAACAAGACGCCAGGGGCCAGCAGGCGGGCAGGGGTGCAGTTGTGGTCTTCGGGCCTCTGAGAAGGAGTTGGCAGGGGTGCCTGCGGGAGCCTTGCCTGGCCACACCGGTGCCTCAGGCAGTCAGCTTCAGTGTCCCAGCTGCCATGGACTCCCCCAGAGGGAGGACCTATGTATGTGACAGGGGACTTCTGCCCTGATTCTAGTAAGTGACCGAGGAGCCCAGGTGGAGGGATCTATAATCCCTAGTGCCGGCCAGTACGCCCCTTCGAGAGGGGGCTGTGGCCCAGCTAACGACATGGCCGCTCCGGAACCACAAGCCAGGCTGCCCCAGCCACCCAAGTCCCATGGTCTCCTCGGGTCCTGGGCAAGTTCACACCATCCTCCAAACTGGAAGACAAGCCGCTGAGTCCTCAGTGGAGAGTGGATCACAGAGTGGACCAGCGGCACAGCCAACCCACGCCACGGACACAGAGCAGGGCAGACGCATGCACCACCAGGGCCAGCTGTGGCCCCCAGAGCCACCACAGGTGCCCTGGACCCACCTCTTCCCCCAGCTCCTGTTCCTGGGATCCATCCACTGGAATCCTTGTAGTCCAGAATCTCCCAGCCAAAGCCAGGATCACAGGTTTCTAGAACACTCTCCTAGCTTCCCAGACCTGGCCCTGGGCTCTGCTCCTACAACAGCCTCAGCCACCCACGCACATGCGGCCGGAGCCCTCTGCCCCGCACTACCCTGGCTGGCCCAGGTCACTGCCCCTGTGGTTCCCACCCCTCAGCCAACCCTGCACACAGCAATGCATCAATGTGCTCAGCTGTGGAGACCACGCCCACCTGCCATGGCGAGAGAGATCTTGGGAATCCCACTCCTAGGCATGGGCCTCAGGGTCACTGTCGGCTGTCCACTGTGCCTGCTCCTGCCTGCCCACATAGCCCACTTGGCCCTCTCCTCCATGTCTGGCTGATGCACAGGGCGGACCCGGCCAGGGGTTCCTCCCGGGGCCCTGCAGGGTAGCTGACAGCTTCAGCGGCCGAGAATGCATTGAGGCGCTTCTTCCCTGGCTCTGACCTCTGCGGGCAGGAAGACAGTGGCTCCAGCCCTCCGTGGAGCTGTCCACTCTCCGTGGCCAACAAAGGCCGGCTCCCTTTGCTGATGTTCCGATGCAGCAGCAGAAACGGCTCATTTCGCTGAACCTCAAAATCTGGCAAAGCACCACTCAGTCCCAAGGCAGAGCCTGGAGCAAGCGCGCATGGTGAGACACACCTGTGCCGGTGAGCTGGCTGGCAGCAGACCTCGCTGGCTCCTCGGGGTACACAGCCTCTCCCTGAGAGAGCTCCTGGCACTGAGGCTGCAGTTGTTCCAACCTGAGTCTTGTCACTTCCTCCGAACTGAAGAAGGCCAGCCTGTCACAACACGGACGGCTGACCTGAGATTCCCAGGGCACACCAGAGTATGGGAGGATGAGCCCGTCACCAGGACCTAAAAACCATTCAGAAGTTCTGATCAAGTCAACACTGAGACAGACAATCCATGAGGGTTTTATTAAGACTACAAACCACCTAGCAAAGTGGGACAGCTCATTCCCAAATGACTGCTGTGTTACACTACATGCCAGGTGGAGGGTACAACATGTGAGACAGGGGACAGGTGGCCTAGCAGCTAAGACGTTGACAAAGACGCCATGTGGCAGCACTCCACTCCTGGCTCCGGCCACCTGCTCGTGCAGACCCTGGAGGCAGCAGCGAAGGCTCCAGTGACCCCTGGTTCTGGCTGTAGGCTTCAGCTCAGCCTGGGGCGCCTGCGCACACTGAAGGCTGAACTGTCCAGATCTCTCCCTCACTCGCTCCAATGAGCAAAAGGAGCAAGACAGGATCTTAAAGAAGCAGAGTAGGGAAAGCTCAGGAATACAATTCCCAGGTGTACAGGGAAACACAACTTCCTGACACCTCACGTGAGTTCTGGAGCAGAAGCACGGCAGCAGCCACAGGCCCCTGGAGAGCTCTCAGAGCACTCCCCCCGCCCCGCCCCAAGGCTGACCACCTGCTGGCAGCAACACAGAAGCAGATGGACAAGGGCCAGAAGTGCAACGACTGCCCAACACAGGCAGGACAGCACACCATCACGCCGCTCTCACCTCTGCTCTGTACGGACAACCACGGCAGCCGCTTTCATGAAAATAACCAGGGGCAGGTACTTGGCACCTGTTGAAAACGCTGCCTGGGGATCCCCAGAGCCCATCTCAGCCTGCCTGGGCCGAGTCCTGGCTCCACTTCAGCACCAGCCTCCTCCTTAAGCACTCTGCGAAACGCCTGGGTCCCCACGTGGGAGACCTGCGCTGGGTTCCAGGCCCTCAGCTTTGGCCTAGCCAACGCAAGGGAGCTCTCTCACTTGGTTTCCCTCTCAAATAAGTAAAAACAAATAGCTTCAAAATACAATTACATTCATTTATTCAGGTTACTTTCAAGTGATTTAAAACTGCAAGTCCCACTTCCAACACTGACGCACAGCCCACAGCCCAGAGCTCCTGTTTAGGGTCTTTTGAGAACTCAGGAACAGGTGGTCCTGAGACCGCAGGGTGGGGACAGCTGGCTCACACTGCAGTGGCAGCCCCGCTTGTCCTCCTTGCCTGAGGCTCCCAGAGTGAGGGGGCGACCCAGTCCTGACCCTCAAAGGAGGAGCATTCTCCCAGGGACATCTGTAAGATGCCAAAGGCCCCACCCCTGGGCTCCCTGTCCATGCCTTGCACTGAGGGAGGAGCTAGCCCTCGGCCCCACAGCCCCAGGGTGGCTCCTGCGTCACACGCATGCCCCACAGCCCCAGGGTGGCTCCTGCGTCACACGCGTGCCCCACAGCCCCAGGGTGGCTCCTGCGTCACACCCGTGCCCCACAGCCCCAGGGTGGCTCCTGCGTCACACCCGTGCCCCACAGCCCCAGGGTGGCTCCTGCGTCACACGCATGCCCCACAGCCCCAGGGTGGCTCCTGCGTCACACGCATGCCCCACAGCCCCAGGGTGGCTCCTGCGTCACACGCATGCCCCACAGCCCCAGGGTGGCTCCTGCGTCACACGCGTGCCCCACAGCCCCAGGGTGGCTCCTGCGTCACACGCGTGCCCCACAGCCCCAGGGTGGCTCCTGCGTCACACCCGTGCCCCACAGCCCCAGGGTGGCTCCTGCGTCACACGCATGCCCCACAGCCCCAGGGTGGCTCCTGCGTCACACCCGTGCCCCACAGCCCCAGGGTGGCTCCTGCGTCACACGCATGCCCCACAGCCCCAGGGTGGCTCCTGCGTCACACCCGTGCCCCACAGCCCCAGGGTGGCTCCTGCGTCACACCCGTGCCCCACAGCCCCAGGGTGGCTCCTGCGTCACACCCGTGCCCCACAGCCCCAGGGTGGCTCCTGCGTCACACCCGTGCCCCACAGCCCCAGGGTGGCTCCTGCGTCACACTTGCCCCCACTAGCAGCAGCATAGAGGCCGCATTGCTTCCTTGCTCCATTTCACTAACTGTGCGGAAGCTGCCCGCCCTGGCGACAAAGCGGGCACCCAGTGGCGCGTGACTCAGGAAGCCGGAGCTGGCCACCAGCCTGGCTCTGCGTGGGCAGCACACACCTGGATTGCTGAGCACAAAGGCCCTTCTGTGCCCGGCACGGCACCTGGGCTCCACTGGGCTGGCTGAGCAGGTACAGCAAACACACAGCAGCCACCTGGGGCCAAAGAGGCCAGGAAGCTGGGCCGCTGGACAGGCCAGACCTGCCCTACCCTTCCCCAGGAGCCAGGCTCCACTCACAGGGCACCTGCAGCCAGGTCTGCTTCCGCCATGAGAGCCAGGGCAGAGGGACAGCACTGGTGCGAAGAAAGTTATCCAGACCCCTGCCAAGTGACGTTAAAATCACCATCCCTAAACAACAGGCAGAAACGTCCCCGACGGACAAAGCTAACTACAGCTCCGTGTGCCCCAAGAAGCACGCTTCGCACAAGGCACACGCACGCAGGTGCTCAACCACCCAGGACAGTCACATGGGAAAACTGGGAGAACCAACCGCTCCGTGGCAAGTCCAACCACCAGACCCCACAAGCTCCGGAAGCGTGCAGCCAGGCCTCCAGAACCTTCTGGAGGACATTCACCATGTGCTCACGTCCCACATAAGCCCAAGAGCCACCCTGTGCTTCTCTGTATCCCCAGAGGCGGGAATGACCAACAGGCCAGGCTTCCCTAACCCCAAGTGGCCACTATCCACACTGCCCACTACGGCCCTGCTAGCATTTTTTTTAAACTTATTCTGAAAGGCAGAATGACAGAGAGCTCTCCTGCCTACTGGCTCCCTCCCCAGATGGCTGCAACAGCCAGGACTGGGCCAGGATGAAGCCAGGAGCCAGAACACACATCCAGGTCTCACACTGGGGTCAGCTAATGTTGCCTCCCCAGGTCAGAAGCAGGGAGCTGCAGAAGTGGGACCAGTGTCATGGCCAGTGGCTTGACCCACTACGGCCTATGCTGACCACCATGTCTGACAGCTGTCACCTGGTTCCGGCCAAGGGCAGCCTCTGCACCCACCTGTACTCCAACTACCATTACTTGGCGTAGGGGAGACAGTAAGGGCCTCTGGTGTACAGCTCCCATCCTCTGTGCCAGCAGGTGCTGATGCTGCCGGATGGAATGAATGCACTGGCCACCATCAAATCTGGCAGCAGCCTGCTCTGCCCACCTCCCCCTGGCCCATGGCATCTCCCTCCTGGCAGCTCTCACAGCACCACTTCTGCTCTGTAGTTCTCTCTCCCCAGCACCAAGTCCCTCTTCTGTACTGCTCTCTGCATGCCATGCTGGTCTCTCCAGTCCCTCTGCTGGCCCCAGGCCAACTGGCTCTCCAGGGGGCATCTGTCTGGCCAAGGGCCCCCCTACCCCACCTTCCTGCAGAGCCCGGGTCTCCTAGAACTGACAAGAAACATGCAGTGCTCCCCCACTAAAGTCCACAGGGTTAACAAAGCCTCTCGCTGTCCCTGGCCCCACTCCCCCTCCTGATGAGCCCTGTGGCTGTCCTAGGTCTGTCAGGTCACAGCTGTGTCACTGCTTTAGGGTATCCACACCACTGCTACCCCAGAGCCTCGAGGTAAAGCCCACAGTGGGGCCCCACAACCTGGAGGTCCCCAGGGCCAGGAGTGTCACCTCATGAGGCAGACACAGGAGGGTGGGTGAGAATGAGGAGGGTCTGTGTGTGGAGGTGCTGTGTGGGCCAAGCTGGGCATGTGGGCACCGGGGGGGTGGCAGAACTGCACTTGCCCCACCACAGGGCTGCATCAGCTGACTCAGGGCCACTCCTAACGGTGTACCCAAGGCGGCTCACAGAGTTGAGGTACAGAGTAGCGAGGGCAGCAGGGTGAGCTGGGCATCCAACCCACCTCTGGGCGGGGCCCCACCTGCTTCCTGCATACCTCACTGGGGTCCGCACAGCCGCTCTACAGCGGGACACAGGGGCTCTTGTAACTGCTGTATGTCCAGGGTTACCCAGGGGCGATGGCGGAATGTAGACTCCCACCCAAGTTCTGACTCTTCCTGCCCACACTGGCTGCAACTCAGAGCGCTGTGTCAGCCAGGGAGACGGGTAAAAGAGAGTGACCCCCACAGGCAAGGACAGGGCCACACTCAGGAGTAGGCCAGTCAGGAGCCAACACTGCCAGGGCAGACTGCCATGCCTACAGCCTGATGGTGAGAGCTGAGACCCACGTGCCTGGCATGACCGCTCTGCTGGGGGTTGTGAGAGAAGTGGGGCAGCGGCCACATCCACTGATGCCAGCAGAGGGGCTGTGGAAGCTGCTGGGGACCAGGTCACGGAAGGCAACAGAGCTGGCACGGCCGACCGCGGCCTTCAGAAGGACTGCACGGTGACAGCCAAGAACTGTGTGCACGGCACCGTGCACTCCCTCGCTTCTCTCTCAAGGCAGCAAGAGCTCAGGCAGGGCCTGCACACTGGCTCTACCTCATTGTCTCCCTACACAATGGGCAGCACAGAGGACAGTGGCAAACGCTGCAGGAGCTGGAAGAATGCTCACATACCTGCTTCAACCCATAGGGCACCTGTGTGGCCAAGCAATGCACTCCCAGCCATGTGCCCATGCACAAGAACGTACACCGTGCACACATGCTCAGCCACGCCTGTGCGGGGCACCTGCACATGCTCACAGGCACTCACTCTCGGGCACACCAGGCAGCCTTCCACACGGCCCTCTCCTCCCTCCTCTCTGCAGGAGAAACGACCAAGAGGCAGCCTTCCACTCTGCAGACTGACGTTGGCATTCAGGGATGCCAGGATGGCACAGAGACAGCCCTATGTCTACCAACAGGTTCATCACCCGGGCACCAAAGCATCAGCAGGTAAGTCCCACTGGTCAGCTGGCAGGAGGCATTAGCAGCTGTACCCAGGGACAGGAGCAGGGCCCTGGCAAGGGCTGTGTGGAAACCAAGAGCAGCAGAACCCGAGTGGCCATGTCTGCTCAGACACCCACGAGTCACAGAAGCTCCAGGACAGGGGAGGAGGACTGAGAAGCCATGGGAGCATGTGCGTCCCCATGAGCTCCTCTCTGGGGGAGCCCCTCTCTAGGGGAGCCCCTCTCTGGGGAAGCCCAGCTGGTCCCGGCCGTGTCCGGCCAGGGGCTGAGCCAGGGAATTCTGGGCAAACTCCCAACAGCACCTCTGCTCGCTGTGGTGCTGGCCGACGCGCAAGACAAGGACAAGGCAAGGGCAAGGACCCACCTCGGCATGAGCTGCCCCGGCCCACGACAATCTGCTTGCAGACCCCACAGGCCCTGGGTTTCTTAAAGGTCTTGCTCTTGAAGCCGTGCCGTCTTGGGGTGAATTCTTCTACCTGGAAAAGGAAAAGTGGGGGTGTCAACCTTCAGTTCAGGGTTTGGGTCACTTCCCCCTTCCATCACAGCCAGCTCCCAACCACGTGACGGCCACATGACTGGCTGGGCCCAGGCCTCCACGGCAAGGGACGCAACACCAGTGTCAGGCAGAAGTTGGCCAGCTCCCCCACGCAGGGTGCCCACTCCTGTTCTCCCTGAGCCCAGGGAGCCACATGTGTGTGCATTCTCAGACACGCTTGCAATCAGGCCTCCCAGCTGGAGCAGACCTTCACAAGCCCAGTTTCCCTTGGGGACAGAACAGCAGCCACAGCTGCTTACTGCCGACAAGCGGCTGTGTGTTTATCCACACTCAGAGTCACTGAGCTCATCAGCTGCTCACTGGGGCAATTAAAACGTGTTGAGAGGATGGGGCACCGCAGGGAACACGGAGGAAGCTGCACAGTGCTCTGGAAACAGGCTATTTCTTACCAACTTCAGACAGTCTTCCGCTACCTGGAATTCTACCCTCACATAAGGAAATACATACCTACAGTCATGAAAGACTGTGTGAACAGTTACAGCAGCCTGATTTAAAATGCCACCAAGAGATTTGAATATAAAGATGGTTCATAAAGACATAGCACCTGGAAACCAAGCATGGTGAAGTTTCCTTGTCAGAGACATGGAAAATGAGGCGACTGCTGGGACCACCCCACGATGGCGGAGAAGGAAGGGGGAGTCTGCTCCCAACGAGGGCCTAGTCTGCATGGAGGAGCAGGAGCAGGCGCAGGAACTAGCGTACACCGCACACTCAGTCTTGAGAGCATGTGTGCGTGTGTGTGTGCACGCGCACCCACACACACACATGAGAGGTTGCTCCCCTGGGCTGGGGAAAGAAATCTGCAGGCAGGATGCGAGGCCCAGTGCCGGAATCGAGCAGGGAACAAGGCCTTATCCCACAGCCAGGCAGGAAGCCTCAGACTTCACAGCCTCTCAAAAACACCCTGCAGAATGGCGAGCCGGGAGGCGACTGCAGCTGCTCTCCCATCCACAAAGCAACCCCAGCAGGTTCACTCTGCGCCCTCTATAAAACTCAAGGCAACCATCGGCAGGGTAAACATGTCCAACACCCACAGGGTCACATTCACAAGGTCTGACAGAGGCGCCGAGACAGATGGCAGAGGCGGCAGGGCCAGTTGACCAGGACCTCCAAGGAGATCCTAGCCGCTCTCCAAAGGGCAGGCAGAGACCTGGAAGACGCAGCAGAGCCCAGTCAGACTCCTGCAGGACAGAGCAGACAAGGTGGGAGCTGAAGACTACAGCGGTGGGTCACGGCAAGAGAGGTCGTGAGCCAGCCAGACCAATACTACACACACAGCAGCGGTGGGCGCAAAGCAGTGAGCACGCGCGCAGCTGGAGTCCCTGAAGAACAGCATCTCACAACGCGGGAGAGAAAGCAGGCAAGGAGCACCAGCAAAGCCAGCAAGGCAACGTTCCACACCCAGCACAGCTATCTTCAAAACGTGAAAGTGAGCCAAGCTCTTGGTCAGACAAAGGCTGAAAGAGCACATCACCGGGTGACGTAAGGACTGTTAGGGCCAGTCCCTGGGCAAAAGGGCAGCGCTCAGTGGAACACGGCTTTACCCAGAACAGAGTACCAGCGCCCGACAGGGTGATTCCTTCTTAGGATCTGCAACTCACACGACCGACTGCTGCAGCAGATGCGGCATCCACCCAGGAGAAACCAGCACGGCTGACGACAGCTCAGCACTGACTCAGGCAAGCAGAGGAAATGCTGAGCCGCTCTCAGAGCCGCTGGGACGGGCTGGGAGGTGTCTGCTAAACCCTCCAGCAACACTAAAATCACCAGCGGCAGCGAACGTGGCAACAACTCTAACAAGGCTAACAGAAAAGAGAAAAGCGCAACAAAGAACATGTGGGGGAAATACAAAACAAGTAGCGAGAGGATGCATTAAAGCTCATCTTATTAACAATCATTCATGTAAGTAATTCAATTAAAGGTCAAGGGTTGTCAGATTGTGGTTTTATTAGTATTTTTTATTTCAAAGGCACAGTTGCAAGAGGGTACGGAAAGAGAGAAATCATTGGCTCACTCCCCAAGCTGGCTGGAACTGCCACAGGCAGGGGCCTGGAGCACGCATGGGGGTGCAGGGAGCCCAAGCACTGGGGTCACCCTCCCTGCTTCCCAGGCCACCAGCTGGGACTCAGATGGAAGCTGGAAGCCTTGGGATGGCCCTGGTCTCCCCTGCCACTCAAGCCGTCCGGCGCGCGGCTAACATACAGCTTGCTGTCATCACCACTTCCAATCCCAACCTCTGCCAAGTCAACCCTGCTCGCTCCAGCCTCCGGGCTTCCGTCAAGACTGTCAAACCACAGAGAGGGCCCCTGAGCGAGCAGACACCGTCCCGTCAACCCTGCCCCTGCAGCCCGAGCCTGGCGGCCCTGGGCAAGTCATAACCTCTCAAAAGCAAGGGACGCCCTTTCCGCCTAACTCCTGGCACAGCTGCTGCAAGGGCCCAACACCAGTCCTCAAACTCCACTTGGGCAGCTACTGGCTCTGCTGTTTGTTTTAAAGGCAGAATGACAGGCAGTGAGACCTGTCCCACCTGCTGATCACCACTCCAAAACTCACAGCAGCCGGGGCTAAGCCAGGCAGAAATTCACCCTGGTTTCCCACGTGGGCGGCAAGGGTCCAGACACCAGGACCTTCCTCTGCCACCTTCCCAGGAGCAGTGGCATGCTGCTGGATCAGAGGCAGCACAGTGTCAGCTCCACTGGCACTCCCACGTGGGATACCACAGTAGGCAGCGGCTTAACTCACTGTGCCACTATGCCCGCCCCTGGGCACAGCTTTTTTAAGAGCTCAGCCTCAGCTCAGTCCCAGGCCAATTAAATGAGATTACCTGGAGGTGGAGCCAGAGCCCTGGCTGGGGGCCAAAGCTCCCCCAGGTGATTCCAATTAGCAGCCAGGGAGCCCCACTGCTCAAGTTTCAAAACAGTCTGTACCAAGTCACCGATGGCCTATTTCACTTTCCCAGCGCCCAGCAGCAGCTCTCACTCTTGTGCTGTTTTGAAGGAGACTGCAGGGTCTCTGAGAGCAAAGTGGGGGGCATCCAAGGTCCTGGGGGCCAGCGGGGTCCCAACAACAGCGTCTCACACCAGTGGGGACAGCAAGCCCTGCACGAGGGCCAGCCTCTCCCCCAGTGTCACATCCGTACAGGAGCAGCCATTCGCGCCCCAAACACCGCCCCGTCCAGCAGTCTGTCCCTCCAGTACTGTGCACGGCTGTGTCGTCTCACCTCCTCCCTGTGCCCATCCGCAGCCTCCCAGAGACAAGACACCCGCCCGGCCCTCTTTGTCCATGGTGCCTGGCAGTCAGGGGACCGGGCCCCTCAATCGATGCTTGTTGACCAAATGAATTGACCACAGTCTGTGGGCCAAGGAGGGACACTACGACCTCTTATTCCCGACAAGCACCTTTAACCTACCCAAGGAGAAAGGGACACTGTTTCGTCTGGGTCCTGTGCCCACTGAAGCCAGTGACACAAGTGACAGCTACCCGACCTCAGCTGGACCACACATCTGGGCTGGGGGGCAGGGTTGCCAACCAGGACTCCCTGCCCTACTCTGAGCAGGCTCCCGGCAGGAATCTAAAATGTGCGTAATTGTTCACAGCTAAGGGCTTGGAAGAGGAGCCCGCCAGGCTACGGGTTCCCCGGACTCCCTGAGCAGGAGCCCTAATTAGTGCTGCTCCACATGGGGAGGTCTCTCTCCAGAAGAAAAAGCTGCCAAGTGGGGCGGGCGGGGGAGCTCCACTCGGGCAAACGTGAAACCGCAGACTCTCTGCCTCAGTATCCCCTCCCCAAAGGCGGAGGCAGCAGAACGGGCGCCCCGCGGGGCCAGGCCGGGCCGGGTCAGGGCGCACCACTCCAGCAAACTGCGCAGATGTAGGAAGGGGGACCAGGGGGCCTTGGGACCCCAGGGAAGCCTGCAGCGGTGAGCCCAGAGCCCGGCCCGCCCCCGCGCCGGCGCCACACGCGGAGCGTCGGCCCGTGGCCTCCAGGCAAAACTTGCGAGTGCAGGATCCCGGCTGCCACTCTGACAGCCTGCGCTCCTCAGAGCCCTACAAGTTTCCCAAGGAACGCAGCCAACGCCGGACTTACTGTGGGCGAAGCGGCTGCCGCTGAAGCCAGGCCGTGAACCCACAAGCGTTCCAGCACCGCGGAGGGCTGTGCCCTGGGGCAACCCGCCAGCTCGCCCAGACCCACGCGAGGGCACGGCGAGCCGCGCTTTACCTTCGCAGGGAAGACGCGCGACGCGGCGAGTCTGCGCCAGGGCCCGCGCCCCGCTTCCATGCCGGGGCAGGAGTGGGAGGAAGCGCTTCCAAGAGGCGGCGGGAGCGGAAGGAGTAAAGCCCGAATCCCGCGCGCCACGGGCTCTGCGGGAGCCGCCCCGCTCGGGGCGCAGCCCCACGGGCCTCGCGCGCACACGGCCGCTCGCTCGCGGGGACACACGCGTGGTCGAGCGGCCGGCGCAGCCCACGTGCGCCTCGGCCCCGCGCCCCGCCGCACTCACCTGGCCCCCGCGCGCCCCGGGCCCGCGCGCGAACGCCGCCGGCCGCTCGGGGATCAGGGCGCGCAGCCTCATGGCCGCCCCCGCCGCACGCTCGCAGGGCGCTAGAAGCGGTCCGGCCCGGGAGGCTCGGGCAGGCAGGCGCCGGGAACAAAAGCCCCGCGCTGCATCCGCGCGCGGCGCACCGGCATCTGACACGAATTAGCCCGGTCCCCGCCCCGCCCGCAGCGCCGCGAGCCCCGGGGAGGCTGGCGGGCCAAGGGCGGGCGCGCCGGAGCCGCCTGCCAGGCAGGGGGCAGCGCCTGCAGCCCCAGCTGACTGGAATTACCGGGCTGGGCGCGGCGGCGGCCGTCCTAGGGTTTCAGGCCCTGGGGCCAGCACGAATCAGAGCCCTGCAGGCTGCAAAGCTTCGGGTCCTGAATAGCAT